CTGCCAGATGTTGCAGGCAGGCAGTAAGAACCAAACAGGTGTGAAGCCAGCATTCATTGTTCTTGTGTGCCTTCAAATCATTTCTATGACCCTATGGAAAACCTATTAGAGAATTTTTTTTTTTGCAGAATTGGTCCAGAGGCTGTTTGTCCTTGCCCTTTTCTTAGGCAGTGGTTCTCAACCTGGAATCTCCAGATGTTTTTGTCTTACAACTCCCAGAAAATCCCAGCCATTTTACTAGCTGTTAGGATGTCTGGGAGTTAAAGGCCAAAAATATCTGGGGACCCCAGGTTGAAAACCACTGATCTAAAGCAAATAATGTGAGCTGCCACCCAATCGGTTTCGATGTCTGAGCAGTGTCGGGACGCAATAATGACCAGGCGGGAGACAGGGTGTAGAAGTGAATGATGATGGCTTTTTTATTGTTGCCCAAGCAAAGCTTATATGGGTTCTGGTGCTCTTCAGCAAAGGTCTGCATAGCAACAGTGGGGGATTACATAATTGCCAAGTGATTGGTTGGATTTTTAAGGGTGAGCTCATCATAGGTGAGGTAGCCTACTACCAGTCCCAGGTCATGATGCCCTGTATACTTTGCCAGAATGGTGTGAAGCGTAAGTGTCAGGGGTCTGGAATTTTCCATGCGCGTCCAGACTAGAATGGTGTGCCAGTAAAAGCCCAGAGGCGCATCGCCACTTCAATGGGACATAATAATGTCATCACTCCTTCAGAGCAGGGATTCAAATCCTGGTCTCCCAGTGTCCTAGTCCAAAATTCAATCCTCTATACTACACTGGGGGATTCACCTTGACCTTCAAACAACTCAGCAACTCCTTCATATTTTGTGTTTAGGGACCGAGGAAAGTTTGAGGAATAGCTTAGCAATTTCCTCCATTTGTGTTGTTGCATGTAACCACATACTTTGCATTTTCCAATTGCCCCTTTAACTGTTTCATTTAAGTTTCAATCAAACTGTAAACATCAGAAAACAGTGATAACATGTTCATAATGTATCTTCACTGGGTTGTTAGAGTCAGAGATGTGCAAATATTATTTGAATTCTTATCCCATTCAAACTTTGACCCAAAACCAAAAACAGTTCCTGATAACAATAGAGAGACACGTTTCTGGAAATGGGTGTGTGCTTCTCATAGAGATAAGAAATAGCTTGTTGCTGTTACTGCTGCTGTGTGCCTTCAAGTCATTTCCAACCTATGGCAGCCCTACCACAAAGTTTCTTTGACATTGCCTTCCTCTGAGGCTGGGAGACCATGATGTATTCATGGTAGATTTCATGTCAGAACAGGGATTTGAACCCTGGTCTCCAATGTTCAAACCAGTATACCCCTCTGGCTGCTAAGAAAAGAGCTGCCTGCACCTAAATGGGAAAAAGAAACAAAAATAACAGAAAAAGAATGGAATAAGATGAGAGAAGTTATTGGAATCCCAAAGAGTTGTGTTTTTTTCTGTCCAAATAGTATGTTTATGTTGATTTGGAAGCAAACAGAAAAATATTGGCCACATTAAAAAAAATGGATCTGGAAACTAACTGCATATTCCAGACTCCCTATAATGGATTTTGTACTATTAGCATTAAAAAAGCAATCCGCCAGGCCATTTCTGGCAAGGACATAGCAATGCAAACATTCCCATTGACTGAACTTTTTTTCCCACCAGGAAACTATCAAGGCAAAAGAAGCATTTATAAGTGAAAAGATGGCAACTGCCAAATGCATTTTTTTTAAAAGTTATTTTTCTGATACTATTAAGATATTACTGAATAGAAGAATCCTGGAATACAGCTCACTATCAATGACCTGATGTCACGATTATAATTTTAAAGGACTAAATCAAATGGACCGCTTAAGCTGCTGAGGAGGGCGGGGGAAGAAAGGGCCTGAGGCTGTTAGGAATTGTGGGAGTTGAAGTCCAAAACACCCGGAGGGACCAAGTTAGCCCAAGCCTGCTATAGATCTATGGCTGAGCTTCCATTTCCATTAGTGCATCTGAAGAAGAGAACTGATGGCTACACAATATGCTAGGATAAATCAGTCTTTTGGGTGCAGCCTGATTTCCTCATTGCTTCCTCTTTTCTTGGTAATGTTTACAACCAAATTGACATGGAGAATTGGTAATGTTCCTCTGTATGTCATATTTTGTGTCAGAATAGGTTTGTTCTAATATCTCTTTGAGAATGAATGTGTGGGAACAGGCAAGAGGGAAGTGTTTGTATAGGTGTCAAAGGTCCTGCTCATTTCAGAAAGGGGCTGTAACATGGAGTCCTGGGATTACATCTTCTCCTCACCCCCACGGTTTTTTGGGGGACACGTCTGGTCTCTATAAATCAGTTGCCACCCCCAGGCCACTAGGAGGAGCAATACATCTTTTCAGAAGAAAGGAAGGTGACATGTGAGCTCTTTCAAGATTTATTGTCAGCAGGTGTTTTCCAGGGAGTAGGGCCCAATTCTTCAGGTGCATTTGGAAAAACGGCCCGGAAATACAGAAATAAATTACTCTAGTTCACCTTAAAGGCTTAAAGTGAACTAAACTGATACTACCCCACCCTGCAAAAAAAACCAACAAAAAACCACTGCCCTATGAACTGGTTAAACACACCCAAATTCTATTGTTGCTTTTTCTAAATTTGTTGTCTGGCATTTTTGGTGGTCATGCACATCTCCTCCAAGGGTCCTGGTCCAAAAAACTGCTCCTGGCTCCTCCAGTTGCCTCTCCTTAGGAACTGTTGGAAATTACAACCTTCTTCAAGCCTCCTTTAGTGATTTGTTTGTGTATAATCCTGTTGCTTACTTACTGTATGTATGTTTTGATATGCAGCTTTCTTTCCTTGCTCTATGTTTCCTGAGAATTTGTGGGAAGGGCTGCAGACCCCATGATCAAGCTCTGAGACTGCTCAGACCTCAGACTCCCATTAAGCTTTGGGACTGCTCAGACCAACACTTGCCTGCTGTAGATTGTAAGAAAGATGCCTGTGCCATCTGCACATAGAGAGTATCTTAAACATATCTGTAACTGGACAGATAAGTTTTGAACCTGTGTATGCTGGACAAATGACGTTGTGAGTAAACCAAATATGTTATTTTTTAACAAAGTCTACTTCATTTTTGTCTCTTAAGTTGTTGTTGTTCATTCGTTCAGTCGTCTCCAACTCTTCGTGACCTCACGGACCAGCCCACGCCAGAGCTCCCTGTCGGCCATCATCACCCCCAGCTCCTTCAAGGTCAGTCCAGTCACTTCAAGGATGCCATCTTGAGTCTCTTGAGTACATGATATAAAACAAGTTGTTTTATGGGAGAGTAGATATATATTTTGGGCAACTGAAAAACACTGCTGAAATACTGCGATTTTGTCCCCTGGCAAAATCTCTGTTTCCTAACAGATCAGAGGCAACAGCTTATCAGTCTAACAACTGAAGCCAAATTGCCTTGCATAATTACATCTCGTTGTGTTCCAATTGAGAAGATTCTACTGAAATGGGTTTTTGGCTCTTCTCTGAAAGACCATGCTTTTCCAAAAGGTTATGATCTCTGTTGAGTTTCATCCCTCAACCGCACATGTTTGTGTGTCATCAAGTTTCTAGTTGTCAATGATTAGCTAGACTAGCGACAGGACTAAGCTGAGGGATTCCTTCCCACATATTTCTATGCATGTTTCCCAAAAGGGCTTTGCCTTTCCTCTTTACTGCTAGCCACTGTCTCCTCCCCGCCTTTGATGATGTAGTAATGGAATTTCTTCGAGATAACTTCCTCTTAGTTTAAACTACCCTGGGTTGACCATTCAGTCTCCATCATTTTAGGGACTTCTGCTTTTCTTTCAGTAAGGACACATTTTGCCTATCTCTAGGCAAAATGTAGCTGCATTGACTTATTTTTTACCGTTTTCCTTCTTTAGAAGATGAGATTTAGTAAAGACCTTTTCTATCAAGAATGTATTTCTTTTACTTCAATAAATATTTTTGAACCTAAAGTTCTGACTCTGCAATCCTGAGCCATCCTAAGAAATAGAAGCCTTCCCTTGCTCACCACGTGTGTTTCTACTGTTTATAGAGTTTTCTCTGCTATGTTTTTGGTGGAATTGCCCCAACTGAGGGTTATTTTTGAGCCTAACAGCTCAGTTTCCCCAACAACCTCCAAATGGTTATGAAGGCAATTTTTCAAGCCTTTTCTTGTCCCCATCCCAAAGATAGATAAGCATTAGGCTGTTCCCAGGATAATATGAAGGGAGATAAGAACAATGTTTGATCTGGACCAAGCCAGGTGCATGGCCTTTCTTTGCCTGCCATCGAGGTTCTGTCTTATGCTATGCCTTCAATGGGAATTGTGGGTGCCCAGATGCCCTAGTTCTTCATCTCCCATCAGTTATGTTAATCCCACAAATGAACAATACATTTTTATTTATACAGAAGAATATATTTCGGAATGCTTACTGTATTGTATATGTGTGTATTGTTATGCAGTTTTCCTTAACTCCATGTTGTGGGAGGGGCTGCAGACAATGTGATAAGATCTGGGATTATTCAGAACTCTGTCAGGGGTGCTTTGAATGCAATTTTCCTGCTTCTTGGCAGGGGGTTGGACTGGATGGCCCATGAGGTGTCTTCCAACTCTATGATTCTATTTGAGTTACCTCAATCCACCCTGCCATATATTCTATTTCAAAGCAGATAATGTGGGATTTTCTGCCTTGATATTCTGGGCTATAGGGCTGCGTGGAAGGTTCCAAGGTCATGCCTTTCCAAAAGATTCCTGGTTTCCCCCAAATGGTTCTGAATACCTTCTTATCCCAGATTTACATGGCAATGGAGGCTCATATAATCCACTTCGAAGCAGATAATCTGAGACCAGATCCTGGATAGAGGGCAGTGTCTATCCGGCCTCAGTTTCCATCTAATACATTCGAAATAAACGCGCTTCTCTCAAAAAAATGTCTCTTATTTCACAGCGGGAGTGTAAAACAAGGTACGAGAAGTACAGGAAGGAGTCAAGACCCCTTGTTGCCCCCAGCCCTTCTCTTCCCTTGAGCAGCGTGTCCCTCCCCAAAGTCTCCTTGAATCCCTGCCCGGAGTCCCATTGGCTCTGTTTTCACCGCGCTTCCTGCGGGTGCTTCTGAGCCCTGGGGGAGAGGGAAGGGGGCCCTCTTTCCTCGCCCTTGGCCTGGCCTTCCTCCTCCTCCTCCTCTTTGTGGGGCGGGAGGGGGTCCCCGGAGGAGACGGCGCAGTCCTGCTCGGGCGCCGCTTCTGGGGCTCCCCCCGCAGCCCCCCGCAGCCCCCCGCCGGCGCCCCGCTTCTTGTCCTCCTCCTTCTTCCACTTCATCCTCCGGTTCTGGAACCAGATCTTGATGTGCCGCTCGGTCAAGTTCAGGAGGAGGGCCAGCTCCACGCGGCGCGGCCGGGAGATGTACTTGTTGAAGAGGAACTCCTTCTCCAGCTCCAGGAGCTGCGCCCGCGTGTACGCCGTCCGCGTCCGCTTGTTCTCCTCCGGCTCCGCCAGGAAGGCCCCTCCTGCGGGGAAAGGAGAGCGTGAGGCAGGCAGCGAACGGGAATACCTGGGTTTGCCTATATGGGATTGAGACCCCGCTGTTCTCCCAGCCTGGGTTGGGGTCACGGACCTTCTATCTGACCAGATGTATACCTCCAGGGCCAGCTAATCACCTCCCAACAAAGGACTCCCCCAGGCAGTAAGCAGCCAGACCTTGAAGCTGCAAGGCCATTCAATGTGAAGCTTGACAGGGTTGGGGTCACCTCCAAGGACCTTCTATCTGACCAGATGTATACCTCACTGAGACCTCACAACCTCTGAGGATGCCTAGTAAATAAAGAACAACACTCCAAAAGTGGGGAATTCCAGGGCCAGCTAATCACCTCCCAACAAAGGACTCCCCCAGGCAGTAAGCAGCCAGACCTTGAAGCTGCAAGGCCATTCAATGTGAAATTGACAGGGTTGGGGTCACCTCCAAGGACCTTCTATCTGACCAGATGTATACCTCACTGAGACCTCACAACCTCTGAGGATGCCTAGTAAATCAAGAACAACACTCAAAAACTGGGGAATTCCAGATAAAAAACAACCAGGGCCAGCTAATCATCTCCCAACAAAGGACTCCCCCAGGCAGTAAGCAGCCAAACCTTGAAGCTGCAAGGCCATTCAATGTGAACCTGACAAGATTGGGGTCACCTCCAAGGACCTTCTATCTGACCAGATGTATACCTCACTGAGACCTCACAACCTCTGAGGATGCCTAGTAAATAAAGAACAACACTCAAAAACTGGGGAAATCCAGATAAGAAACAATCAGGGCCAGCTAATCACCTCCCAACAAAGGACTCCCCCAGGCAGTAAGCAGCCAGACCTTGAAGCTGCAAGGCCATTCAATGTGAACTTGACAGGGTTGGGGTCACCTCCAAGGACCTTCTATCTGACCAGATGTATACCTCACTGAGACCTCACAACCTCTGAGGATGCCTAGTAAATGAAGAACAACACTCAAAAACTGGGGGATTCCAGATAAGAAACTGTCAGGGCTAGCTAATCACCTCCCAACAAAGGACTCCCCGAGGCAGTAAGCAGCCAGACCTTGAAGCTGCAAGACCATTCAATGTGAACCTGACAGGGTTGGGGTCACCTCCAAGGACCTTCTATCTGACCAGATGTATACCTCACTGAGACCTCACAACCTCTGAGGATGCCTAGTAAATAAAGAACAACACTCAAAAACTGGGGAAATCCAGATAAGAAACAATCAGGGCCAGCTAATCACCTCCCAACAAAGGACTCCCCCAGGCAGTAAGCAGCCAGACCTTGAAGCTGCAAGGCCATTCAATGTGAACCTGACAAGATTGGGGTCACCTCCAAGGACCTTCTATCTGACCAGATGTATACTTCACTGAGACCTCACAACCTCTGAGGATACCTTGTAAATAAAGAACAACACCCAAAAACTGGGGAATTCCAGACAAAAAACCATCAGGAAAGAAATGAGTTCCCTAAGACCAACAAGACACACAGGTCCACTATTACCAAAGTAGAACAATACTGAGCATATATTTCACAGCTTGTACAAGATACAATAAACAAATATCTACAATAAACATAAGTATGTAGTTTTCACAATACTGATTATAGTCTTTTGAAGAAAAAAATGATATCAATTATGAAGAGCTTCTGTTTCCTTATTGAGATCTTCTACAAGATACAACCAATAATGAGGCACCGGGATTGTGGCGCAGCTGGCTGAGTGTCAGCTGCATTAAGATCACTCTGACCAAAAGGTCATGAGTTCGAAGCCAGCCCGGGCTGGAGTGGGTGTCCAGCCCGTTGTTGACCTTTGCAACCTGAAAGACAGTTGCATCTGTCAAGCAGGAAAATAAGGTACCACCTTAAAGTGTGGGGAGGCTAAATTAACTGATTTATGAGGCCATAAAGAAGAGTCCAGCAAAGCATTCCAGCGGGGAAGCATGCGGGGAATGCGGAAGTGCTAGCAGCTCCCTTGGCGGCCAGAAAAAAGTTAAATAGCCTCGGTGTATTTGTCTGTTAAACGTTTTTTGTCAAACTGGCATTGAATGTTTGCCATATATGTGTTTACTGTAATCCGCCCTGAGTCCCCTGCGGGATGAGAAGGGCGGAATATAAGAACTGTAAATAAATAAATAATAAATAAATAAATAGGTTCCTTGCATTCACAGTGCCAGATAGTAAATCTTCCTTGTAGGAGAGAGTTTGCAACCACAGGTTCTTGACTGATATCATAGCATCATAGAATCATAGAGTTGGAAGAGACCTCATGGGCCATTCAGTCCAACCCCCTGCCAAGAAGCAGGAATATTGCATTCAAATCACCCCTGACAGATGGCCATCCAGCCTCTGTCTAAAAGCTCTCACAGTCAGGAAGTTCTTCCTCATGTTCAGATGGAATCTCCTCTCTTGTAGTTTGAAGCCATTGTTCCGTGGTCCTAGTCTCCAGGGAAGCAGAAAACAAGCTTGCTCCCTCCTCCCTGTGACTTCCTCTCACATATTATACATGGCTATCATATCTCCTCTCAGCCTTCTCTTCTTCAGGCTAAACATGCCCAGCTCCTTAAGCCGCTCTTCATAGGGCTTGTTCTCCAGACCCTTGATCATTTTAGTCGCCCTCCTCTGGACACATTCCAGCTTGTCAATATCTCTTGAATTGTGGTGCCCAGAATTGGACACAATATTCCAGGTGTGGTCTAACCAAAGCAGAATAGAGGGGTAGCATTACTTCCATAGATCTAGACACTATGCTCCTATTGATGCAGGCTAAAATCCCATTGGCTTTTTTTGCCGCCACATCACATTGTCCTGAACCGGTGCTTGGCCGCTGTGACGGTCTGGATGGGGGCGAACAAATTGAAATTGAATCCAGACAAGACAGAGGTACTCCTGGTTAGTCGTAAGGCCGAACAGGGTATAGGTTTACAGCCTGTGTTAGATGGGGTCGCACTCCCCCTGAAGACACAGGTTCGCAGTTTGGGGGTGATCCTGGATTCATCGCTGAGCCTGGAACCCCAGGTTTCGGCGGTGACCAGGGGAGCCTTCGCACAGTTAAAACTTGTGCGCCAACTGCGACCGTACCTTGGGAAGTCTGACTTAGCCACGGTAGTCCACGCTCTGGTTACATCCCGCCTTGATTACTGCAACGCTCTCTACGTGGGGTTGCCTTTGAAGACAGTCCGGAAGCTCCAGTTAGTCCAACGGGCGGCAGCCATGATTCTAACAGGAGCGGGGCGCAGGGAGCATACAACTCCCTTGCTGAACCAGCTCCACTGGCTGCCGATATGCTACCGGGCTCAATTCAAAGTGCTGGCGTTGGCCTTTAAAGCCCTAAACGGTTCTGGCCCAACTTATCTATCCGAACGTATCTCAGCCTATCAGCCCACCAGGACCCTAAGATCTTCCGGAGAGTCCCTTCTCTCTATCCCTCCAGCTTCAGAAGTGCGGCTGGCAGGAACGAGAGATAGGGCCTTCTCTGTGGTGGCCCCCCGGCTTTGGAACACCCTCCCTATAGAGGTACGATCAGCCTCTTCGCTGATGGTGTTTAGGAAGAGACTCAAAACATGGCTGTTCAAACAAGCATTCGGCTAATCTGTGGCAATTCGAATATTGATGACTAAGGACAGGAAACATGGACAACGAATTCTGGATTGCGATTTCAACTCGAGATATATGGGATTATTATTGCTGGCCCAATAATTTGTTATTGAATTTGTTATTATATGTGTATATGTTTTTAAATTGTAGATTGTTTTAACTGCTGTAAACCGCAATGAGTCGCCGTTCTAGGCTGAGATATTAGCGGTATACAAGTGTATCAAATAAATAAATAAATAAATAAATTGTTGGCTCATGTTTGACTTGTTGTCCATGAGGACTCCAAGAGGACTCCATTTTTTCTTCAAAAGATTATAATCAGTATTGTGAACACAACATAGATATTTTTATTGTAGATTTTTGTTTATTGTTTTCTTGTACAAGCTGTGAAATATATGCTTGGTATTGTTCTACTTTGGTAATAGTGCACCTGTGTGTCTTGTTGGTGTTAGGGAACCCATTTTCTACTTTGGTAATAGTGGACCTGTGTGTCTTGTAAGAAACAATCAGGGCCAGCTAATCACCTCCCAACAGACTCCCTCAGGCAGTAAGCAGCCAGACCTTGAAGCTGCAAGGCCATTCAATGCAAATCTGTCATTTAATGTCATTAAATCTGTCAGGGTGCATTGAATGCGATTTTCCTGCTTCTTGGCAGGGGGTTGGCTTGGATGGCCCATGAGGTCTCTTCCAGCACTATGATTCTAGGATTTTAGTATTCTAGGATTCTAATCAAGGTGGCCAGTTGCGATATTTACAGCTATCTCAAGCAGACAAGAGTTCTTTCTCCCATCCTGGACATTCCATAGATATATAAAACCCCACTTGCCTAGTTTCCAACTGACCTCTCAGTCTCTGAGGATGCCTACCATAGATGCAGGCAAAATGTCAGGAGAGAATGCTTCTAGAACATAGAATCATAGAATCAAAGAGTTGGAAGAGACCTCATGGGCCATCCAGTCCAACCTCCTGCCAAGAAGCAGGAATATTGCATTCAAATCACCCCTGACAGATGGCCATCCAGCCTCTGTTTAAAAGCTTCCAAAGAAGGAGCCTCCACCACACTCTGGGGCAGAGAGTTCCACTGCTGAACAGCTCTCACAGTCAGGTTCTTCCTCGTGTTCGGATGGAATCTCCTCTCATGGCCATACAGCCCAAAAAACCTACAACAACCCAGTGATTCCGGCCATGAAAGCCTTCAACAATACATTTGAGGAAGGAATCCCTCAATCTAATCTATCTAGGCTAACTACTCATTGAGGGCTGGAGACTTGTGCAGTCAGGGATGAAACCCAACAGGGTCACCTCCATGGACGTTCCATCTGACCAGATGTATACCTCACTGAGGTGGCTCATGCTGGAAATCAACCATATCCTCATCAAGGAATAGATAGGC